GCCCCTGGCAAAGCGGAGGCTTCAATGCTTCCGCTGCTTTGCCGTGGGGCACACCAGGGCTAACTGCCTGAGCCAGGTGGACCGCTCCACCTGGTGTTTTCAATGCGGCAGCAGTGACGGACACAAAGCTGCTGGCTGCGGAAAACCCCCAAAGTGCCCAATGTGTGCGGGGAGAGGGCTGCCTTCTGGACATCGAGCGGGTGCGGCTGAATGTGTGCCGTTTAACGGACGAGGGCAAGCACCCAACGGCGGTGACACGCGAGTAAACATGGAGGAAATATCTACCGGGGCTGTTCGGGGAGCTCCGACGCTAGCAGATGAGCCGGATAGGATGGAAGTAGTCGATGGCTAGTATAGCCCAAATAAACGTAAACAGATCGCGACCATCGCAAGATATGGTCGCCAGAGTAAGTGAGGAGCTGAGGCTAGGAATCGTGGCTATCGCGGAACCCAACAGCGTCCCGGACAATGGCCGTTGGGTAGCCTCTGGAGACAACCCTCCCTCGGCAGCCATAACGTGGCAGTGGAGCAGAGAAAGGGTGCCGTGCTCTCTATCGATGGAGGGGCACGAGATTCGTGGCGGTAGACTGGGGGGACATAGTTGTTGTCTCATGCTACTTCTCCCCTAGTCTTAGTGAAGAAGAATTCTCCAGGAACTTGTATGAGCTGGAGAACAAATTGCTGGGAATAAGGGGCTACCCGGTGGTAATCGCGGGTGACTTCAATGCCCGCGCCCACGCGTGGGACCCTGGGCGGCCTAATAGAAGAGGAGCCATCCTGGTGGATTGGATAGATATAATGGGCCAGGTACTGAATGATGGGGTAGAACCGACGTGCGTGCACCCGCGAGGCGTCTCATGCGTAGATCTCACGCTGGCGTCTCCTTCTGCGGCGAGGAGAATCTCCTCCTGGAAAGTGGAAACGGATCTGGAGTCCCTCTCAGACCACAAATATGTGTCTATGAAGGTCGGGACCTCTCTGATCGGGCCCACCACGGGGAGGATGGCACTCAGAGCCTTCCCCAGATGGGCGGTTGGGAGGGCTGACTCAGACATGATGGAGGCTGCTGCGGTCTTTACGGCGTGGAGCGCCACCTTTGGGAATGCCACTTCTGTAGCTGAGAAGATGGACCGGGCACTTCGCGACATCTCGGATGCGTCGATGCCTAGGAGGGGATTTGCGAGAAAGCCGTCAACCTATTGGTGGAACGAAGAAATTGCTGACCTACGTCGCAGCTGTAACGGGTGCAGGAGGAGACTCACACGAGCGCGTACGAGGAACGGAGTACTCCCTGCTGATATCCAAGTGTACTGGGATGAGCTGAGGGAGGCTAGACGTAGGCTCAGGGGAGCGATTAGCCGATCGAAAGCTAGGTTATGGGGGGAATTAGTTAACGATCTTGAAAGGGATCCTTGGGGTATGCCTTATCGATTAGTACTTAAGAAACTACATGCGAGTGGCGCATCGGTGGTGGAGGTGCTCCCTCCTGAGATTGTGGGGGAGATCGTGACGACCCTATTCCCTGCGGATAACACCCCGCAGGTTATTGGGACCCTGGTCGATTGGCGCGATGAAATGGCGGTCACTCCAGTCGAAGTGCTGGAGGCTGGGACCAAAATAAAACTGGACAAGGCTCCAGGACCGGACGGGATCACGGGACACGTGATCAAAAAGACAATGGAAAACCTTGCTCCGGTATGGGCAAGGTGCTTCACGGAGTGTTTTAGGAGGGGGCACTTTCCACGACAGTGGAAGCTTGCGAAGCCCGTATTAGTCAAAAAACCGGGTAAGCCGGATCTCTCCCCGTCCTCGTACAGGCCCCTGTGCCTGCTGAGCGAGGCGGGGAAGCTACTCGAAAGAGTGATCGTGAGGAGGCTCCAAACCTTCTTGGATGACATAGAAGGTATAGCGAACGGGCAATATGGTTTTCGACGACACCGCTCTACTATAGATGCGGTGTGGTGCCTTAGGGAACGGGTCGGGCAGGGCATACGGGATGGGGGTGTCGTTGTCGCGGTGTCCTTGGACATCGCGAACGCGTTCAACTCCCTCCCGTGGCCTGTTATTAGGAGAGCTTTAGGGGAGAAGGGTGTTCCGGAGTATCTCCGGAATATCCTGCACGATTACCTCTCGGATAGGGGCTTGTCCTACGTGGACCGTAGGGACAGACTGGTGCGGGAAACAATGACGCGCGGGGTCCCACAGGGATCGGTCCTGGGACCGACCCTGTGGAACATAGGTTATGACTCTGTTCTGAGAGCGAACATGCCTATAGGCTGCTCAATACTGTGCTATGCGGACGACACGCTGCTGATCGCGAATGCTGCGACATTCGACGAGGCGCGTATCAGAGCCGAATTGGGGGCTACCTATGTGATAAGACTGATAGAGCAGCTGGGACTGAAAGTTTCGGTCTCTAAAACTGAGGCGATCGCCTTTACCGCTGAAGGGATACCGGAGGGCGCGGCTATTAGGGTCGGGGGGGAGGTGGTTCCGATTGGATCCACTGTGAAGTACCTGGGACTGACCCTGGACTCGCGGTGGACCTTTCGGGACCACTTCCGCCTACTTATGCCCAAGGCCTGGAATATGGCAAGGGCCCTCGCGAGAATTACCGCCAACATCGGCGGTCCTGGCGAGCGACGTAGAAGAATGTACGCCACAGTCGTTATGTCGGTGGTGCTGTACGGGGCCCCAATTTGGGCACAAACAGTGGCGAGAGACCGAAATATATTAGGTAGCGTGCGTAAGCTGCAGCGGCAGCTTGCCCTGAGAATAATTAGGGGCTATCGTACTGTATCGCATGAGGCGGCGGCCATCCTATCGGGGATGGTCCCGTTCGATTTAGCGGCGGACCGTATCAGACGATCTTATATTCGTAGGCGGGATATCATCGACCGGGATGGCGAGATTACCCAGCAGGTGGGGGGAATGCTGCTGGAGGTCGAGCGACGTCGCTCGATCGAGCGATGGCAGAGGCGACTCAACGAGCTGCCTCCGAGCGGACCGGGCGCGATCGTGCGAAGCGCCATCGGGGGGGGAGCTGGAGGCGTGGGTCGGGAGGGCGCATGGTGCCCTCACATACCGCGTGACTCAAATTTTGACGGGGCACGGGGTGTTCGAGGCCTATCTTTATAGAATAGGACGAAGGGATACCCCGATATGCCTGTTTTGCAGGGCGACGAGCGACACGGCGGCGCACATCCTGCTGTTCTGTCCGTTCTGGTCGGAGCAGAGGGGGACGCTGCTGGTGGTCGTAGGAGTGGATAGAACATTCTGGGCTGTGATGAGGGCTGCCATGCGCTCTCTCGAGGCGTGGAATGTCTTCGCCGAGTTTTGCGAGAATGTAATGCGGAGAAAGGAGGAGGACGAACGCACTCGGCAGCGGGGACTCGACCCGCGTGTGGGGGTGCTGGCCCTTCCTCTAAACGAAGAGGACTCTGACCCCGGTTAGAGTCAGATCGGCGATGGCAGAGAGTATGTGCAAGCTCGCGTTGAGCTGTGCATGTATATATTGTATATAGTAGTAGTCTCTAAGTAGTCTTTAAATCTTTAAGTGTATAATTTTGGATGTTAATGCTCATAAGCAACGTAGAAAAGAAGGAGCTGTCGAATTCGCGACATACTCTGATCTGGTGTATTGTTATTGTATATGCGTAGGACCCGTTGTAGCGGTAGCGAGTCAAAAGGCTCGGAAGGCAGGGGGGCACTCTGAAGATGTGCTAGAGTGCGGTTCCGGAGTGCCTCCCCATGCCTGCGTGCGGTAGTACGGAAAGGGGGGAGTTTTTAGTCGGTAGGCGGCCGTCCCGATGCGTCCCTGGGGTACCTTGGTATCCCTGGGATCACGAGGCGGCTGAATCCGGCACTCCCGACGGTACGGGCTGTCGGGGATCTTCCCCTCCCCGATGGGTGTCCCGAAAGGGTCCCCCTCGGGAAGGGGTATTAGAAGATTTTCTCCTCCCACGTAAAACAAAAAAAAAAAGACTACAGCAGATTAACTGTTCATTAAGTTTTTTTTTGTATTGTGATCAAAGGCAGGGTCTATCAGTATGGAAGAAT